TTCCGAGAACAGTAGGAGAATCATCTGCTGGCAAGACTTTTGTTAGCATCCTCAGCAAAAGGTTGCTTACAAGCAAGCTGATAGCGGATTTGACTTTTGAGCATGCGCTAGTATCAATTTACCATCGAAACGAATCGAGAGGGATTAGCGATCTTGTTGGTGGATCCGATATCTCGACTTTCTGCACGACGGCAGTGGTACTCCCCAATGAGCCATACCTGCCAGCATTTGGTATGCCAGTGGAAAACAATGATTGGCTGTTCTTTGATGAAAAGATAAATGTATACGGTAGAGTAAGCAACTCAGTGAATCCGCCCGGCCCTCCTGTATCTTTCTCCTTCCCCTTTCCCATCCTCTTTTTCCGCAGCGTGGTTTGTTGTGGAATCGTTGTTACCTAAGGGTTTCTTTTCGTTTAGTTTGATTTCGCTTGCATACGGACAGATCGGGATGATCCAAGCTTCTGCCGGATTTTTTACGTATTTCTGGATTATGGCCGATAATGGTTTCTACCCGAGTCGCCTAATACAGCTGCGTGCACAGTGGGATTCACGTGCGTTCAATTCGCTGGAAGATTCGTATGGTCAAGAATGGGTAAGTAAGTATTTCTTCGAACTCCCGTCCCCCCCCCTCCCCTTCCTCTCCTCCTCGCTTTCACCCGGGCTTTACGTATGATAATTCTTTTCTGAATATTTTCTAGTTTCATGTGGACCACCACATAAGCCGGAGTTGCACTTTCTGTCAGTATCTCCCATCTTTGGTTGAGATTTTCATCCCTCTAAAAATGATTTTTGGCTTCCTCTAATTATTTTCCTAAAAAATTGAGGGAGCTGGAAACGCACAGGTATATTTCATGCATTCTTTTGAGTTTCGTGGACCCAAGGAAGTATGTAGTAGATGTTATCAAGTAAATGTGGGCTTTGCGGGGTCATTAAAAGCACTGATGTTAATCGCCTTTATTGCCACGTGCAAAATTAAGGATTTATCCTGAAAGTGGCTGGAGAGGAACTGTTTGGGCGGAGTGTATGCACCTTTGTCTGCAAATATGTTTCTTTTCTTTTACAGACATATGCGAACCGAAAAATCCTGGAATACACATGTCAGACAGCGTACTTCGTTTCGATTGTCGTGGTTCAGTGGGCCGATCTGATCATTTCGAAGACGAGACGAAACTCACTGGTGCAGCAAGGAATGAGTAACTGGACACTCAATTTTGGCCTCGTTTTTGAGACCATTCTTGCTGCTTTCATGTGCTACTGCCCGGGACTTGACAAGGGTCTTCGCATGTATGGCCTCAGGTTTGTTTCACTTTCTCATCCTACTGGCGTGTTTTAGTTGAACGTCATTGATAGGATCTGCGTATGATTTTTAAATCAATGCTTTGATCTGGTGCAGTTCAAAATGTGGTTTTTTGAGGAGCGTATGTTTACGAAAATGA